AATTAAATAAAAGTTTGGAAGCAAATTATATATTATGTAATACCAAGTGCTTGACAAAAATCAATACACTATGCTATCAGAGGCACCAAGTCAACATTGAGATTGTTTTTATTAAAGACAATGAAATACAGGTGTAAAAAATACAACCACATAGTAGAAAATTTTCACACACGTATTACAGGTGTAATTCATAATTTCTGTGTATATTGCCATTGTTTCAAGAATGTGAACTATTTTGAAGTGAAATAAATGATCTCCATGACCAGAGGTGATTTTTCTGTGCCATTAAGCTAAATTCTAAAATAAACTGACTTGTTAAACCTTATAAAAAAACGATTTTTCCGCAACAATTATCCTGGGGTTTTATGAATGTGAAAGTGATTTAATATGAACAGTGCTTCTTTTGGTTGTTTGTGATAAATCTCAAAACTCAATAGCATGATTTGATAGAAGAAAAGATAGTATAAAGAAATTTCAAAGTATTCCTGCAAAATGAATTAAAAGATTTCACAAGCATTTTAACGCTATCCACATTCTCAAATTAATATTTCTGTAAAAGCTTTCTTTTTAAGCATAAACTTTTTAAAATAAAAGATTTATTATTTAGAGAGAGGTAAAGACAGAGAGATTTTCCATCTGCTGATTGATTCCCCAAATCATCACAACAGCCTGAGTTGGGCCAGGGACAAACCAGTAGGTAGGAACTTCATCAAGTTCTCCTGTGTGGGCACCCAAACACTTGGACCATCTTCCAGTGTTTTCCTAGGTGCATTAGCAATGGATTGGATCAGAATTGGTGCAGTTTGGATTCAAACTAGTGCCCATAAGGGATGCTGGCATCACTGGCAGGAGCTTAACTCGCTATACTGCAATGCCTGCCTCAAGCATACATTTTAAGCTATGTAAGTATATGATAGAATTTGGGTTATTGCTGAAGGTGATTTTTACCAGCTTCTGAGAAAAAATAAGTATTGACTTGTATGTGCCAAGTTTGGACATCTCACACCTCTGCAAATCTGAGCCCGGAGGAATTCTGCCTCAGCTGTTTTTGATGTGTTGTGAATGAAAGACGTGAAAAGTAACAGGGTTGTAAAAGTCATAAATGCCACATAAAATGAAGTCATCAATGAGTAAAAATGATTGGGGTTTTAGACTTGCAATTTTCCTTTTTTAATGCCCTTACTGATTTGTTGCAAATACTGTTAACCCTGTATTTGGCAAATGGTGAGGACATTATCACTTGTGTTCTCATTTGTAATAAAACAGATTAACTTGCTGTGAAATTTTAACTAGGCTGAGACACAACAGTAGCCACCTAATGAACCAAAACGCATTGCAGTTAAGTAGCTAAATAGATGCATACTGATTACAGCACTGAAAAATGGATCTGTTTACTTATGAAAAACAAATAAGTCATGGAAAAATTCATTGTTTTGCAGAAATTAAGCATTCTAATTCTATATAGGTATACACATATTTTAAACCCACTTAATCTTTAATCAAAGTAAGACATTGGACTCATCAAACATGGTTAGCATGGTTTATACGGCTAGAGAAAAAAAAATCTGACCTCAGTGTTGCCTTAGGAAAATAATGACAAAACTGAGACTTGATTGATTTTGGGAAGTACAGGCTACAAATTCTTAAATCAGAAATATTGCTTCCTACAAAATATTACTGCCACTCAATATTGACTGGCTAAATCATGTTTTCAAACTCAGTTTATTGTTTCATATAATGTGCTGTTGAAAGCAGCAAAAGAGTTTAAGGATAAATTATTGGAGCTCATATTTTTTGATCATATGCTAAATTTAAATATAGTGGGAGAAATTCCTTATTATATCATTGCAGCTTTTTTCTCATTATTCATAGCATTTTCTATTTTTTTACATGTTTTTCCTTTTTATAAAAATCAGATTATCCTTTCATTTTTTATTAGAGTGGCCAGAACCAAATATTACTGCCAGTTGTATTCTTCTGTTTTTCTGAGCCATCAATGGTATAAGTTGCTCAAAAATTTTCAAATTTTGGGTCAGTGTGATAGTGTAGTGGCTAAAATCCGTGCCTTGAACTCACCGCAATCCCATCTGGGTGCCAGTTTTAATCCCAGCGGCCCTGCTTCCCATCCAGCTCCCTGCTTGTGACCTGGGAAAGCCCAAAGCCTTAGGACCCTGTACCCACGTGGGAAACCCAGAGAACTCTCCTGGCTCCTGGTTTTGGATGGGCTCAACTCTGGCCATGTGAATCAGTGGATGGAAGATCTTCCTCTCTGTTTCTCCTCCCTTGTGTCTATGTGACTTTGCAATAAAACTAAATAGATCTTGAAAAAGTTTCCGTTTTAGTATATTAGCACGTATTCGAGTCATGTGATTTCAGTTTGATGGTATACAATGATGCTTCTTCAGGTCTATTTTTGCAAAATACCTCTGTCCTTCTTGCTTCACTCTGTGGTACATTAGAGATAAATGTTATTCAATCAATTCCACTTTTTTACTTTCAAATATTCAGTTGGAATGCTGAAGACTCTACCTTTAAGCACATATTTTTGGAATAGAATCAGTGAGAGTATATAACACTGAGAAGTGAAACAAAATTTGGTCCTTACGCAAAATTCCTTAATGTGAATTTGGATGCACATGAGTTCACTCATACTGTTTAGACACTATATGAACACTATATAAGTACATTCTGACAGACACAGGGTACCTGAAGTGATGTTTTCTTTCATGTAGATATTATGTAGTAAGCAATTTACTGCAATTGAAAGTAGAATACTACAAGAGACTGGGCAGACTAGGGTCATGAGATAACAGAAAGAATCAGGTCAGGAGATATCAGCAATAACTGGATATGAGAAATTAATTATGATATTATATGACAAACCATGGTTAATATGATGAACAATGATTCATTATATATATATCAAAATACTTATGAGAACATTTTATGTGTATTTTGTAGAATATATTTTAAATATTAAAACAGATTGGATTCAATTAACTGATAAACTATTGGGCTTTTCAAAAAGTGAAGATGTGTGGTATGATCGTTATATAACTTTTATTGTTTATCTCCATACCATCCCTCCACAATATAAATATATATTTATTAGAAATAAAACAATCTTTAATGTTTTCTTCTGTGTTGTTTATATGTTTATTTTTGTCTCTGTTACATTGTGTTATAGCTGTTTTGCATCGTAAATGAAAATAAAGCATGTCTGTATATTTTTGTTTGAAGCATTATTTTTAAAGCATTAGAATGACTAACATTTTAAAAATATAATATACATTTTAAGTTATTGGTATTATATAATGTTACAGCTATATACTCAATGTTTGTTATTTATTTCTTTGAAGTTATTGAACAGTATAAGAAACATTTTAAAATGAACATAGTGCATTAATAACCATATAGTACTCAAAGGCTGCTACAATGAATTTTCACAAATTTTGTGTTCTAAAACAAGGAAACTTTATTTTCACATATCTGTTGGTCAGAAGTAGAATACAGGTTTCATTGAACTAGAAGCCAAATGTTGGCAATGTTGCATTCCTTTCTGTAGGTTTCCAAGAAGATCCTATTTCCTTATTTGTTTTACTTTCTAGAGACCACTCACATTTTTTTTGCTCGTTGTACCCTTCCTCTACTTTTAAAGCTGGGGATTCCAATTCTCTGGGACTTTCCCCTGCCCTTGTCTTGCATGTCTAACAGCTCTTGTTACCAGATTGGTTCCACGAAATAACCCAATATACTATATGTTAAGGTTTTTAATCACATTCACAAAATAATTTGAGGAATATATGGCAACATATTAGCGAGTTCTGTTCATGACAATGGGGTCTGGATTATCTTGGGGCGTGGTGAGGAATCATCATTCTACCAGTCGAAATGACAGACATTGCAGAACATTGATACATTGAAATGATAACTTTTAACCATCTTCTTTAGAAGTTACGGATTTTGAGCTTGTCATGCAGAATCAATTTGAAGATGTATGAGCATAATGTTATGATGATTAGAATACTGATGTTGTAATTACAGATAATTAGACAGAACATTTAATTTGAGAAATGTATTATGGATGAATTAAATGTTTTCTAGAGCAAACATCTCTGTCCCAGCATGTCTATCATTCAAGCACGTTTATTGCATATGTGCATAAACACTGCAATTTGGTTATTTTATTGATCAAATTAACTGAATGATTCAAATTTATTCATCACTTTTTGATGCATAATCTTGGTTAATAATTTAAATGCTTTATAGCAATCTTTGGTCATAATTTTATAAGAACAGTATAACATTGCTATAGAAGCATGTAAAATGTTTAATCTTATTAAATTATTTATGTAAAGCTGTAAAGATCTATGTAGTACTAGAGAGTTGCCATTTATAGACCTTAGGGTAAGTTAGAAAAAGCTAACATGTGGCTAGCAGCACACTTTGTTGGAAGAATTAAATATAAATTCCTAAGTTTTGATAGGTAACTGGTATATCATTGCTATAATTTTTGTCTATGGGGAAAATATCCACATGTATCAGGTGCTACTTTTTTTCTGAGTTTTATGCCAGTGCTTTCAAATATTTATATTCAGATCTCCTTAGATGGAAGCATCACACTCCACCCCCACCCCCGCCAAATGCACACACTCCATAACACACTTTTCATCCATCAGGGCATTTATAATATCAATCAATTTTATTATGTATCTATAAAATCAGTTATGAATATTCTTGGAAATAGAATTTAAGTTTCCTTGAATGTCTCTGCTGTACTCGTCATGGCAATAGCATCTTTTCTCACTTAAGCCTCATGATATACCTTTACAATTTTGCAAGGACCAAAATAATTTCTTACTAAAGATATGTATTTAAGAACATATACTGTGGGTATTTTCACTTTCAAACTAAGTGGGTGATTAACATTTCAAATGACAAGACTAAATATGAAGTACTTAATGCACAGGAAACATTTCCTTTACCTCCTTATGTTCCAGGAGCGGCTCCCAGAGAGTCCTTCTCCTGCTCCCTCTCTGGAAGAGAGTCATCGCCCTGGGAGCCAGACATCCTCCCACCCCAGTAGCAGTGTGTCCAGCTCTCCCTCTCAGATGGATCATCATTCAGAGAGAATGGGTGAGTAACTTACCAGAAACAAGTAATTGGAAGATATTCTGTCAGGAAATTTCTATACAATAAGGAAGCAATAATAAAGGTGGAGAAGCTGATAACACTTTATTGTAAATGATTTAAATGGTTATTATTTAAATTACAGAGGCAATATCAATAATAAAATAAAAAGAAATTAAAACGTTAGGACTTTATTCACTGTAAATTACTTCTCCCTGCGTTATGTGATTGTATGGGGAGTAATCAAACGGGGTTTTTTAAGAATCTATCTTAGTTCAATTTATTGGTAGATAACAGCTAATACGATATAGTAGACTTGTCCCATTCACAGCAATCTTTTGAATAATGGAAAATATACTTTAGGTAGTTGATCATGTAAGAATGAATAAAAGTTAATCAGTGTATGATTTAGCTGTGCTTCACAATTTGGACAAAATTTTTTAAACATGGCTTCACCTACTTTAATGAGTTGTGTTGTGTCAGAAGGTTTACCCTATAGACAACAGTACAGAATTCAGCAGGGATTTGGCATGCTGCATACTTGAATCTAGCCAGAGATCAGTTAATATGTGGCTATAACATCATTAGTATGTCACTTAAGGATCACGAGTTTCATTAATTTATGGAAATTACTGCTTGCATAAGTTATTTGATTATAGCGTATTAAAATGAAGTATAGGGAAAAAAGCTTCAGAAGTTTAAAATACTAAGGAAATGTAAAATGATAAGCATAATAATTTTCTTTGTGACTTTACCATGGTTATTTATCAGCCCCTGTTATTTGATCCTATTCAGGCATACAGCCATTAGTAGGTGCATTTGACTGTAATGAATTTTGAGTTTGCATATAATGCTTATGGATCGATTGAGCTAGGTAAAATCTTTCTTAATTTTCTGTATGTACGAAATCCAGTTTCCTAATCCATTTCTTTGTGGGAAAATGGGTTTGATACTCTTTTAGTCTTCTTACTAGGATATTCTTTAATGTGAACTCTTTTTTTCAGGTTGTAATAGTGATTGTTTCCAGCCTTTTAAAAATATGCATTGGAGTGGGTGAAAAGAGTGGAATTTTGGGGGATTAGGAAAGATGTTAAATTTTGGATTTGTGCCAGGGAAGGATGATGATGATTTTTTCCCATTTCCTGCATCTAAGTCTTACCGGCCTGTCCATATTATTTACCATTTTGCATCTTTAGGTTAATAATGTGCTAAGTCTCAAGTACGGCTTCAAATAGTATTCACCTGTGGAGTATTTACAACTACAGATAATAAGGCCACACAAAGCTTTATTCGATTGGTCTAGATTACAATCTGGGTAACATAGTTTTGTTCTGTTTTTCAGTATTTGCTGAGAATGTTCCATTGTGTAATCAGGCATGCTAATGACTGTGAGGGATTAGGTTTAATTCCTGGAGGACATCTGAGTTCTAGCTGTGCTTTCTTTTTGGGAGGTAGGCTACCTAGATGCCACAACATGTGTCCAGCTGACTCAAGGGAGTGTGAACAAGACAAGAAGCTATTTTTTGAAGATAATTAGATAAATTAAAGATTTCCATTTTAAGGTTTAGTTTGTTAATTTGAAAGGAAGAGTTACAGAACTGGATGGAGAAGCACAATAATCTTCCATCAAATGATTCATCCCACAAATGGCTGCAATGACTGTAGCTGGGTCAAGCTGAAGTCAAGGGTCAGGAAGTGCATTTGAATCATTCATGTACCTAGTAGGGATCCAAGTGCTTGGAACATCTTCTATTGCCTTCACAAGCAGATTAGCAGGGAGCTAGATCAGAAGCAGAGCATCTGAGACTCCAACTGGGCTTTTGACATTAAATGCTGGATTGTAGTAGGAGGTATAGCTTGCTATGTCACAATGCTGGCTGCAAAACACATTCTTGTGTTGTAATGGTCTTTGTATTGATCAGAAGGACAGATACTGAGAGAAGAGAAAGGGTCATATGGAGATAAGTCATATGTAGAAGTAAAATCAAATATTTCATAAGCAATGTAATATTCTAGATAAAGCTTGGTAGGGTGGCAATTTATAATATTTCTGACAGTAATTTGGCTGTATATGACAATTTAACATTTGCACAAGTATGATAATGAAATTGTGTATGCATTAATAAAAATGCTTGACATTCTGTATTTAAAGAATTATATGCTTATTTATAAAAATATGTAATGTTTTAATACATGTGTTTAAAAATAGTGAAATTATGAACTCCAAAATTCATATTTTTCTCACTGATCATAAATATTTTAAAATCTATAATAATGACCATGGTTCTATTTTGCCTATTAATCTTGCTATTATATATGATATGTACAAAAACTTCCAAAAATAAACTGAATACATATTTATTTTTAATTCATCATTCATTAACTGACAATTTAAAAAAAAAACATTTCAGAAAATAATAGCTTTTTGTGAATGTAAGTAATGAAGGTTTTAAGTGAGGAAACATTTTAAATATTTAAAAGAAAAACATTGAGAAGCATATGTACTTATGTTAACTATATTTTAACATTTTCATGATTAAGCAGTTTAGATTATAAGATATCACACTATTGAACATCTGACTGTTTAATAAGTGAAACATATAAAATTCCTACTAACTGTGGTTGGAAATTATGAACAGATAATGTGATGCTGTTTTACCTTCCCTCTTGTATGTTTTACATAGAAAATTACTTAGTTACTTCTCTTATTTATAGTTATGATGCCCAGCAATAGAGAGGAACTTATTGTTGATCAGGATAATGGACCAACTATCAAAAAGTTCCAAAGGGATAATAAAGGTAAAATGATTTTTGCTTATTTTATGTGCATGGGAGGATCATATACTAACTCAGTTATTACCCCAGTGTTGTTTATTGAATGCACGTTTCTCTGTCAGAAAAGGTGTATAATGGCTTGGAATAACGTCCTTTAGTAAGAAAAAAATGACATTTATCTGAAGCTTTCTCACTTGGTGCTATGCATTACATATCAGTCTGGTGCTATACATTACACATCAATCTGGACTGTATCTGCACTTGTGATTCGAAATTTTACCCTAACCCCTTTCATTTTGCCTACACAGAGACATCTGTCTGTATTACATATGTAAGATTTAACTATTTAGTTATCAACTAAGTTATTGTTAAAGAAAAGCTACATTACTGTCATGAAGAAGAGCTGCTTCCCACAATCCTTCAAGGGTTTTTAAGATGTATCCTAATACTACACATTTCAAATAAAAAGTTAACAAGCTATTTTATGCAGTGTTTGCCTGGAATCCTAATAAGCCTGACTTTTGATCAGCTGAGACATATACATTTCACTGCACAATAGAGTTTTGTCTTAGATTACCCATCTCAAAAAGTAAAGAATACCCTGATATAAGAGCTGAGTACAGCTTTACATAAAAGATAAAAAGTATAAGAGAAAATGAATATATGTAATTATATAGACTATATATCACCACTGCCACCATGAGTTAGAAGTAGATATCATTTAAATTATGAGTAATTGCAATGTTTTTATTTTACCATAGGGAACATTTTTCTATAATATAAGATATAGAACAAAGATGCATGAGCTAGGGTGGGGGATCCATTTTCTTTTCGAAATTGAACATACTTCATAATTGCCTTGATGAGCATTTTTGCTGAAAATTGTAATAATATAGAATTTTCATTCTGTTGATCCATGGTTGGTTTCCTTGTTTAGTTTCTTTTTTAATGTATTGTGTGCAGTCCCAAGATTGAAATGGTTGATTTCAGAATATTAAGAATGGAAGAAGTGAGGTTCAGTATATTAAACAACCCAACCTTCATACAGTTAATAAAATTCTACTTAAAGGTAAAGTTTCATTTGTAACTCACAACAATGTGTTCCTGAGAACCCTTCCCCCACCAAATCATGACTGTTTGAAGGACAGCTTTTTAGCAAGGTAACTTTTCTAGAAAAATCTCCAGCTGTCTATGATACATATAATTTCACTGAAGCAACGACCCTATAAGTCAAAATGACATTAGAATCTCGCTTGTGTGCTGCAGTGTTCAAGCCTACATTATTGTGTCTTTAAAAAAATCAGCTGGAGCATCAGTTCAGATATACAGTTACTGATTTTCATGAATTATACTGTGCTGTATAACAACAGTTCTAAATCTCGTGCTGTGGAATGCCGCAGTCATACTCATTTCTATCAAATGGGTTGGTCAAACATCCTGATGACGGCATCAATAAAAAAGAGTGACATATTAAACTCCACCCCTGTTAGAGTGGAAATTTTCTATTAAATGAAATTTTCTATGTCAAGTTCTACCAGTCCTGTTTGTGATAGTAAGATAAAATATATTTGAGAAAAATACATTTTAGTGATTAAAGATGACTAAGTTAAAGTAAAAGTCTCAAGGTTTATTAAAGATGACAAGTAAGCAGTTTATACAACTGTGGCAAGCATATGTTTTCACATCTGTTTTTAGTAATATCATCATGATTTTTAAAATGATTTATAGCTCTGGAAATTATAAAATGACAGGTTTGCTATTATGATGAAATTTTCAGAAAATGTGAAGAAATATTGTTGAGTATGCTTTATGGAGGCTGCCCCATGATGTACCTTGTAAAATTGGGTGACACGGCAATACATGTCCCAAATGAAAATTTGCATTGAATTTTAAAATGCACACATGTAAAAATAAATGTGACCTGAAATTTCTTGACAGTGATGTCAATTTATACTGTTCCCAAAATGGCTTACCAAGATTATTATTTTAGTTATGAATCAAGTAATATGAATAAACTGACTCATCAGTCAAGTCAAGCGATTGATTTCATTTTCCCATTGACTTTGTAAAATAAATTGGCCCAATATATATTTTCTGTGTGACATTGTGTCATTGTGTTACATGGCCTTTACCAGTTAGTTTTGGGACTACTCAGTGTTGAGAAAAAGGAATGATTCACGCTATCATGGCTGTGTGATCACAAAAGCATAAAGGAAAATAGCATGCTGGGCTTGCCATTGTCTTTACCTATGATGTCATGACACACTTAACAGAATGATGGAACTATAACTGCATTTGGGGGACTATACCACAGCAATAATATAGGGGAAATCTGTGTGAGGAGGGCAATTGGGGAGGGGAGAGGTGAAATCCCTTTGCCTATGGAACTGTATCATAAAATAAATGAACTAAAAAAAAGCATAAATCTTCACCTAACAGATACTGGTCTACCAAACAGCATGAGGAAGGACTTTTTATACTTTACATTTGATATAAAATATTAAAAAATATTTTTCTATGTGTAATACATAATGGTCAAAATGTGTAATGATCAAACTCAGGCTGCTATAAAACAGTGGAATAATCATTTATCATCCAGTTCAAGACGTGGGTCCGCGAATATATTATATCTGAAATAAATCCACAGCCTACCATTTGAACGGGTAATAATTTAGACACCGTTTGACTATAATAATTGAAAGTATATATCTCAGCTACAGCAAAAGCTGTTTATTTCTGTCCATGCAGATAGGAACACAGTTTATTTCTTGGTGTACATTTTAGTCTTCCTTCCTCTCTGTGCTGTCTCCTTGGCTTCTCATGATAAAATTCTTGTATCATACTCCCACATGTTTCTGTGACTATATTAATCTTTACTGTTTCTGTTAAAACTAAAGATATACTTCATGGGTTAACATTATGGCTCAGCATGTTAATCTGCCACCAGCAATGCTGCCACCCCATATGATTGCTGGTTGGTGTCCTGGCTGCCCCACTTCTGATTCACCTCCCTGCTAATGCACCTGGGAAAACAGCAGAGGAGGCCCAAATATGTGAAACTCTGCCACCCAGTGGGAGATCTCAATGGAGTCCCAGGCTCTTGGGTTTGACCTGGCGTAGCCCTGGCCACTGCAACCATTTGGGAGTGACCCAGCCGATAGTAGATTCTCTCTCTCCATCTCTGCTCTCTTTCTTCTTCCTTCCCTCCCACTCAAATATATAAATGAATCCTTCAAAAGCTTTTGTTTTGATGGAGAAAAAGCATGGCAAGTTAATATATTGCTGACATTGTTCAGATTAATTTCCCTTTTATGTTTTCCAATTCACTGATTTATTTATCTGGTTTATCTAACTTGCTGTTAAGATCATCCATTGAAGTTTTGTATTTTATTTTTGTGTTTTTCAGCTTTGCTGAGATGTTTTGTTCTTTCATTTGCTTCATGTGTCTTCATAATTGTGTATTAAGCATTTTTATAATAGGACTTTAAAATCTTTGTCAGATATCTCAAACATGTGTAATTTTGGTTTTGATGATTGATCATGTTGTGTTAACATTCAGATTGAAATGTTCCTGAGTTTCTGATTTGATAATTTATATTTAACTCTGACATTTATAGTATCATGAAGCTTTGGATCATATTTAAATCTTGTATTTTCTCAGGCCTCTTCTGACACATCTCTGGTGGGACAATGGGTGGGACACTGCCTTGTTTCTCACAGGCATGGATTCAGAGTACCTGCCGCCTACTCTGCTTCCATTGTCAGCCAGGACTGGGATGATTCCACATTTAGCGATTGATGCGGTTTAGATCAGGCTCTTAGTCTGGTTGACTTCACTCTGGAAGCGAACCTGTGATCCCCTGTGGCCTCATCCTCTATTGCAGAGGTGAGGCATATGGCCTTATTCCACTTTGAGCAGTGATGAATGTCCTCACTTCCCAGTATTCCCTTTGTGACATCATCCTAGGTCAAATGGTGAAGAATATTGAATGAAGCAGTGGCTGACCTGGTGTGATCTGTATTGATGTTGTGCTTGAAGGTGGTGAGTTCACTGCTGCTAAGTGTTGTCCAAAGTCCAGAATCTCCTTTAAACCTTCAACAGCATCCTCCTTGAGGGAGGAATAGAAAGACACTGGCATATTTCACTACGCCCTGGCTAAAACTAAGGTTTGGCTCCCTACTTGTTTTTTTGCTAGTAGTTAGACTGGAAATTTTCATGCTGTATTTGACTGAAGTGGAACAGTTATTATCTATGTGATTTCAGTATCTCTCGGTGATCTATTTTGTGTCTTTTGCCTGCAAAGATTCAATTTTTCATGTGAAATTTTGGTCAGCACTCCCTTGCTTTTTCTGGTTTTCTAGGATCCAATACCCATTCTGTGATATATGAAAAAAATATCAAGCTCATGGGATCCACTACCATGTGATTTATGATGTTTATACTTTCCCAGATGTTCTAATATGTTTATACAAGTTTTCAGAATCTTCTTATTCTTGTTTTACATATAGTTAATCAGGAATTTTAGTTGGATTTAGAGAAAAGAATAGGAAAATATATCACCATTCCATTTTTATTAAATAACAGAATATTGATGTTTCTCTCAAATTCATTTAAAAAACATTAGCTTATATCACATATATAAGCATAACAGAACTCTCCAATTTGAAGTGTATGATTTAATGTTTTGTGATATATTCTCAAGATTGTAGAGATATTACCACTCATTTCGCAAAACTTTTTTAACCCACAAAAGAAAATGTATACTCATTAACATGCACTACTCCTTTGATTTTCCCCATTCCTGCCAAGCACCACTCTGTTATAAAATCTTATAAATTTGCCTATATTATATATTTCATATAAAGGAAATTATATTATGTATGACCTTTTGTGTCTACTTTAAGTTAGTGTAATGCTTTCAAGATTGATCTACGTAATTACATAAATCAGTATTTCAGGTTCTGTTTATAGCTGAATATTATTTTATTGCATGGCTATACCACATTTTGTTAGTGCATTCATC